GGGCACCAAGCACAGCCAGTGTGCAGGCAAGGCAGGCAGGCTGGCAGGAGCTGCCCGCATCCCGCTGCCCTGCTAGACCCAGAGGAACCGAGCGCCCCATAGATCTTTCCTACAGTTTCAGCAGTTATCTGATAGAGGAGAAGCCAGTGCCAGCTGCATGTCTGCTGCGCAGCCAGGACGGGCTCTGTCACCGATGCTTTTAGTTGAGTCTCTGAATGCACAACCAGAAGCCATACCCATCTTGCTTTGACCCTCCTTTCCCAACCATCCTGACAGCTGGGACTCCAAAGAAGAAAAAACTTTGCTGGGCATTTCCACTCCTTGCTGCTTGCCTGGGAGGAGACAGGGTCGCCAGCAAAGGCGAGACCAGCCTGCCTGCCTCATGGGAGCAAGTCGGTTCTAGCTGGACACATCCGCAAAGTCACACATCTCCCTGCTGGTGCCCAGGCTGCCATCTCCCCGACAGGTCCCCATGAGTTCAGTGGGTAAACAGGAGGCAGTGGGTTCACCCGGCAAGAGCCAGGAACAGGGGCAGGCGCCTGGGTGCTGGCCCACCCCAGCTCCTGCCCATCTCTCCCCAGCTCTCGGGGTGCCCCATCGGGCTCTACAGGGTCCCTGGCACAGGATCCCACGGCTGTGTCCCCCTGCCTGGCAAGCCAGCCATCTCTCGTCGCCTTCGCCTCACACGATGCCGTTGCGTGTGGGGTGAGTCCGTACCCGGTAGATGATGACGGCAGTGGCCGGGCAGAGCACCAGGGCCGTCATGACGAGGATGGTGGCCAGGATGATCAAGACGATGACCCAGATGTCCAGGATGTGCTTGGGGAGAATGACGAGATCTGCTGGATCAGTGAAGTCCATCCTGCAAGGGAGAAGCAGAGGGGTGATGGGGCAGCCCCCCCCCCCCCATTGCTCTAAGCATCCCAGTGCTCTCTCCACGGAGACCCCTGTGGCCACGTCCACCCTCGGCCTTCTTCAAGAGCAAAGGGCTTTCGTAAAGACTCCTTTGAGAAGCCCCAGGATTTACCGCGTGCTTTGATGCAGCTGGATTAACAGCCCAGGGAAAAACTTCCCTGTTAATTGCTACCGCTGTTAAAGGAGCTGATAAAGCAAAGCCACAACCAGACGTCCTGCTGGTCACTCACGAGTGGGTCATCGGGTGGCGAAACGGTGGGACCAGGGCAGCCAGAGCCCCCCTCGCTTCAGGGGACCCCCACCCCCCCGCGGTGCCTCCCGCTGACCCACGGAGTTAATGGCTTAATTAGCAGCAGGGCTGGGGTCACCGTCCCTCCATACATCCCACAGCTGCCTTCTGCCGGGCCACCGAGTGACACGACCGACAGCACCGGGCTGAGCCCCCCCAGTCCATCCCGCCCGCAGCCGCCCCTGGCTCCAGCACCCCGGGGAGGGGGACACACACACACGGACGAACCCCCACCGCGGGGGAGAAGAGGTGGCGGCCGCAGCCTGCCCTGCCTGCCCTCCTGCCTGCCCGCACCCCCCTTTACCTGCAGCCCGGCTCCGGCGAAAGGCCGCGGCAGGATCCCCGGCGGGGGAGGGAGCCTCCGCCTGGCCCCGCCCGGCCCGCGGGGGGCGGCAGGGGAGGGAGAGGAGGGGAAGGGGAGGAGAGGGTAGGGGAAAGGAAGGGCAAGGGCAGGCAGGACCTTTTTTATGCACCGGGATAAAGCAAGAACACGCTCCAGCTCACCCCAACCCCGGATGGGGTCAGACCCGTCTGGAGCCAAACCCGAAGGTCTCAGGTGTCAAGGAGGCACCCTGGGGATATTTCATAGCATAACAGCTTCATAAAGGGCTTTTTCCCCGTTCCTGTTCCCCTCCTGCCTCGCCAACAGCAGGGCTTACGTGCCCCCACTTGCCTCCGTTGCCTGGGGCAAGAGGGAAAAGCAAAACCACCGAAACCCTCAGTCAAACCCCAGCAGCGAGGCGCCAGCCAGCGCTCCCCGGGGCTTCGGGGCAGGGTTGATTTATAGACACAAGCAGAGAGCATCTCCGGGGAGGCGGCAGACCTCGGCCCACCAGCTGGGAATGGCGTTTCTGCTGTCTAGCGGAATATTCTGCTCTGTTGGCAATGCTGAAGGGCAAAGCCAGCAGCAGCTATTCCTGGCCGGCTGCGGGAAGCAAGGTGGTGGGATGCTCTGATTTTCCTGCTGGGACACAAGCCTGGTGTCACCCACACTGGGACCCATGCACCACACCCTTCATACCCACCTTTCCCAGGGAAACGTGCCGCATTCCCAGTGGCGGAAACCACTACCACATGTTCTCAGACACCCCCGGCCTCCAGGCACGCAGCTCCCCGCTCCCCCAGAAGCGGCGCACAGGCGGCTGGCGGGCAGCCTCCCCCCCGCCTCCCCAACA